GCCCAGCAGGTTGAAGCTACGGTGGCTGTGAGCATGCCACTGCACTCCAGCCTGAGCAACAGAGTGAGACTCAAAAAAAAAAAAGAAATTCATATAATTTGAGAAAACCATTCTTAGTAGTGAGTAAAAGGATAATACAAAAATTTGTTTCTGCAGTCACCCCCCCATACCTTGCCCCTTCCAGCTGCCTTATTGTTTTCCCTGCTCCTTTCACAATGTGAGTTATCCACATTATTGTCTCTTGTCTGTGCTTTCTTACATACCATTCTCTCCTTGGCACACTTCAATCTGGCTTCAGTCTTCTATATTTTGCTAAAATTGTTCTTGTCAGGGTATCCTGTGACTTTCATGTTACCATATCCAGTGTTTATCCCTTTGACATCCTCATATTTTGAAGCACTTGCCACAGTATGAGCTCTTTCCTCTTAAACCCTTTTTTTGACCGGACATGGTGGTTCATGCCTGTAATCTCAGCACTTTGGAAGCCCAGGTGAGAGAGTTGCCTGAGTTCAAGGGTTTGAGACCAGCCTGGGCAACTTGATGAGACCTCATCTCTACAATAAATCAAAAATTAGCCGGGCATGGTGGCACATGCCTGAAGTTCCAGCTACTTGGAAGGCTGAGGTGGAAGGATTGCCTGAGCCCAGCAGGTTGAGGCTACGATGGCCATGAGTGTATCACTGCATTCCAGCCTGGGTGACAGAGTGAGACTCCCAACTCAAAAACAAACAAGCAAACAAAAAGCCACTTTTTTTCCCTTAATTTTCTAACCACACTCTTTTAGTTTTCCTCTTTCTGTGCTTCTCATTCTCACACTAAAATATTATAGAGTCAGATATTGCCCAATCTCTTAGGTAATATCCAATCCCAGGACTTTAGATACCATCTATATGCATATTACATCTTAACATGTATCTAGTATAGCATCTCTCTCCCTGAACTTAAGACTGCTCATTTGACCTCTCTATTTTAATGTGAAATACTTATCTCAATCTTACGCATTTAATTTAATGATACAACCATACACTCACTTGTTCAAGCCAAGAAATCTAGAACCATCCTTAATTCCTCTTGTTTTATTTCCTGACTTTTTAACTCTCAAGATATGTCCCACATCTAATCACTGGGAAAATGAAGTCATATAACATATGATCTCTGCCTTCCAAAAGTTGTTTATAGCAGACTAGCAAAATAATTAGCAATTATGTGAAGTACAGTAGGTATTAAAATTAAAATAATAGGAGCATTGAGGAGTGCATCAGAAGCAGCAGGGGTGGAGAGTGTAAGAGAAGGCTTCCTGCATAAGTGATGTCTGAGCTGATTTTTTTTAGAAGCTGTGTAGTCAAAGAAGCAGGCAAAGTCTATTTTAGACCAAGAGAACTATATTTTTTAAGGCAAATGCTATTACGATACAGAATGATTACCTAGGGCTCTTCAAGTACTTTAGTGTGGCTGTAATGATTTTTTTGTGTTTTTTTTTTTTTTTTTTGAGTTGGAGTCTCACTCTGTCGCCCAAGTTGGAGTGCAGTGGCACCTCAGCCTTGACCTGCTGGGCTCAGATGATCCTTCCGCCTCAGCCTTCCAAGTAGCTGGAACTAAAGGCACACACCACCATGCCTGGCTAATTTTTCTGATTTATTGTAGAAATGAGGTCTCACCAAGTTGCCCAGGCTGGTCTCGAACCCATGGGCTCAGGTAATCCTCTCACTTCAGCCTCCCAAAGTGCTGGGATTTATGGGCGTGACCCACCGCACTTGGCCTAATGATGTTTTTTTGAGGATTAGGGCAAACTAGTGAAGCAGGTCCAGATCATGAAGAGTCCTAAACTAAACAGTTTGAAACTTATTCTGAAAGATAATTTTTAGCTTATAGTGTCTGTGTGGGAGCTGGAAAGGTAAGGACAGATCCTGGGATTTAAACCTGATTTGGTTGAAAAAAACTTTTTTTTTTTTGAGTTGGAGTCTCACTTTGTTGCCCAGGCTACAGTGCAGTGGCATGCTCAAGGCCACTGCAACCTCGACCTGCTCGTCTCAGGCTACCTTTCTGCTTCAGCCTTCTAAACAGCTGGAACCACAGGTGTGTACCACCATGCCTGGCTAATTTTTTGATTTATTGTAGAGGTCTCTCCATGTTGCTCACGCTGGTCTCAAACCCCTGAGTTCAGGCAGTCCTCTTGCCTCAACCTCCCAAAGTGCTGATGAGACCTCTTCTCCACAATAAATCATAAAAATTAGCCGGGTGTGGTCGTGTGTGCCTGTTATTCCAGCTACTTGGATGGCTGAGGCAGAAGGATTGCCTGAGCCCAGCAGGTCGAGGCTGCGGTGGCTATGAGCAGTGTGCCACTGCACTCCAGCCTGGGCGACAGTGAGGCTATAGCAGAAGGATTGCTTAAGCCCAGGAATTTGAGGTTGTGTTAAGCTGTAATCGTGTCACTGCACTCTAGCCTGGACAACAGAGTGAGACCCTGACTCAAAAATAAATTACTTTTGTAATAGCACCAAATTTGAAATCTATGTTCAAAGTGCCAATTATCTTATAAATGTAATAAGTAGTGTGGGTAGGTATTTGTTTGCATCAGGATCCATATAAGATCCACATATTGTAATTGGTTGATAAATTCTTTAAAAATTTTCTTAATCTATAGGTTCCCCTTCCATCTCTTGAAATTTATGTTTTGAAGAAACCAGGTTGTTTGTTTTCCACAGTCTGGATGTTGTTGCATCCCTATGAGTTCAAGTAATAAGCTCCCCTGATCTCTGAATTTCTATAAAATTGCTTGCTTATCTTTGTTAAGCTTTTAATGTATATAGATAGGCATATTCCAAAAAAAGTATTCTGTAAATTTTCTAAAGATAGATGTCAGCAAATACTTGTTGAATATTTTGTATTTTCTCATTTTTCATTTAACTGTATTTTCGTACTGCCTGGAAACCTACACCATTTTCTTTCTTTTTAGCCATCCTAGAAGCTATGATTTTTCTCAACAGTCCTCTATAAACTTGATTCAGAATTAACATTTAAGACTTCTCTGTCCCAAATACATGTACTGTCATTCATACCTCATAATACTTGTAGAAATAGTTTCTGTTTCTTGGAGTTTTGTTGTTGTTGATGTTGGAATCTCATGTTGCTCAGAATGGAGTACACTAGCCTAACCACACGGTTCACTGCAACCTTGACCTCCTGGGCTCAGGTGATCCTTCTGCCTCTACCTTCCGAGTAGCTGGGATTACAGGCCCACACTACCATGCCTTGCTAATTTTTCGATTTTTTGTGGAGACGAGGTCTCACAATGTTGCCCAGACTGGTCTCGAACTCCTAGACTCAAGCAGTCCTCTCATCTCAGCCTCCCAAAGTGCTGGTATTACAGGTGTGAGTCACCACACTCAGCTGATGGACACCTTTAACTTGATCCAGACTTTCCATATTACGCTGTTGCAGTGATTATGTGTTCACAAGGATATTATACAGTACTGATTGATTGTATTGTTGAGATAATACATAGAAAACCTGAGCAGCAGAGTGGAGGTATAAAGTCAGATAAATCTGGATTTTAATCTCATCTTCCCCAGTACTGACTATGTAATCTTATACAAATTACTTCTCAGAGTCTTGATTCCTCGTTTGTAAGATAACAGTGATAATGCCTACTTTCCATGACAATTAAAAATCTAATTCCAGGCCAGGCGCAGTGACTCATGCCTATGATCCCAGCACTTTGGGAGGCCAAGGTGAGAGGATTGCCTGAGCCTATGGGTTCGAGACCAACCTGGGCAACTTGGTGAGACCTCATCTCTACAATAAATCAAGAAAAATTAGCCAGGCATGATGGCGCACGCCTGTGGTTCCAGCTACTTGGCAGGCTGAGGTGGAAGAATTGTCTGAGCCTGGCTGGTCGAGGCTGCAGTGGCCATGAGCGTGCCACTGCACTCCAGCCTGGGTAACAGAGTGAGACTCCAATTCAAAAAAAAGAAAAATCTAATTCCTTAACTTAGTATACAGTACCTTCCTTCAGTAGTCTGATCCTTACTTTCCTAATCTTTTCATCTTCCTCCAGCAGCACTAACCTGGTGGAATAGACTGCTATTGCACTGGTGTGCTCTTTGGAGCTCTGTTTCTCCCCCTCCTTCTACATCTTCTACGTTCACATACGTTTATACACTGTGTCTTCTCATTTATTATGCCTTCCTCATTCTTTCTCTTCCTCAGTTGACTAATTCCTAATCAGAGCAGGCGTCATCTATTTTAGCAGTCCCGCACAGACACCTTTGTATATGTCTCTCTGTTCCCCAGAGCACTTCTTGCCTTTCTCATTGACCCATCTCAAGCACTGTAATAACTTTTATGCTCTTAAAGACCATATAGTATTGTAATATTCTGTTTTGCCTCACCTTCTCTAGACTGTGCATTCTTTGAAGACCACAGCGAATAGCCTTGCGATTCTTGTATTATTCTTAGCACATGTTCCAATCATGCGATCAATAAATTTTTGTTGAATTAATACTAAAATAGTAACATTTGTTATGTACCGTGATTAAGTATTTTTCATACATTATTTTGTCTGGCTGTAACACTCCAAGCTTAAATGAGGTAGCATGTGCAGATTTTCTCATATTCTCAGGAAAAATGTCAATGATCTTTTCCTGAACTTTAGCATACAGCCTCAACTCACGCTATTTGTGCTTCTGGACCCCTCCCCTGCTTTTGCTTGTTCCCATCATTCTGTTCTCATAGCTCCTATTCATACCTTTATTTTATGTATTTATACTTCTATTATATTGTAGCAGACAAAAGTATCTGAGGGTAAAGATGATCTCATTTCTGTTTTCCTAGGCTCAACACAGGCTCTGGTGCAAAGGAAGGGCTATATAAATGTTGAAGGAAGTAAATATTAATTTGTATTTTTCTAAAGCATCCAAACTGTGGGAGATAAATGTATTTATACCATGAAAACTTTCTAGATCAATTGTTTCATTTCATCCTCTTTATTCTTTACTCAGGATGCTTGTGGTGTTCACAGCGAACATACTCCCTCCAGCCTGTCCCAGACAGGAGGATTCCAAACCGATACCTAGGCCAGCCCAGCCCCTTTACACACCCACACCGCCTCAGACCTGGTAAGGCCTTTTAAGTATAATAACTATCTCTGTTTAGGTGTTCTGTCTAGAACGATGTTACCTAATAGAATTTTTTGCAATAATCAAAATATTCTAGATCTGTACTGTTCAGAGAGGTGGCCATTAGCCTCATGTGGCCGTTGTACACTTACGTTTCCAGTGAAATGAGGAACTGGATTTTTTAAATTTTATTTTAATGAATTTAAACTTAAATAACTACATGTGGCTACTGGTACCTTTTTTTTTTTTTTTTTGAGTTGGAGTCTCACTCTGTCACCCAGGCTGAAGTACAGAGACATGCTCACGGCCACTGCAGCCTTGACCTGCTGGTCTCAGGTGATTTTTCTGCCTTCGCTTTCTAAGTAGCTGGAACTATAGGCATACACCATCACACCTGGCTAATTTTTTCTTGTTTTATTTTAGAGATGAGTTCTCACCAAGTTGCCCAGACTGGTCTCGAGCCCTTAGGCTCAGGCAATCCTCTCACCTCAGCCTCCAAAAGTGCTGGGATTATAGGCATGAGCCACTGGGCCTAGCTAAGGATGTTTTTCAAGAAAAGTTATATTACTTTCTAAGTCATAGTTTCTAGAACTGTGAACTAACCTATGAAGTACTGTGTTAAAAACATTTTAGAAAATGTATCTTTCTTGAAAGTTAAATACTCATTTAAAAATTTTGTTTAACAACAATATTTCTATATAGGTCAGGTGTGGTGGTTCATGCTGTAATCCCAGTACTTTGCTTGAGCCCAGGAGTGGGAGACTAGCCTAGGCAACATAGTGAGTCCTTGTCTCTACAAAAAAATTAGCCCAGCGTGGTGGCACACACCTGTAGTCCCAGCTACTCAGGAGGCTGAGGCAGTAGGATTACCTGAGCCCAGGAATTTGAGACTGCAGTGAGCTGTGACCATGCCACTGCACTCTAGCCTGGGCAACAGAGTGAGACGTCAACTCAATAGACAAAATATTTCTATATAGATTAAGCAAGATTTCCAGATCTGTTTGTCACTGATTTGAGAGGTGGTCACCCAGTTGATAAAGATGATGCAAAAAAATCAGTAAAAGTTTATTTCACTAATTTTTTTTCTACTATAAAGTCACTTAAGGGGTGAACAATGATGAATGAATATCCCAAAGAAGTAGGTATGGCAAACGAAATGCTTTATAGAAAAAGCAATCAGGTTTTCAAAGAAAATTAATTGTTCCTTTTGTCATGGGAAGTTAAATCTGTATTTGTAATACAAGCATATATGTGAACAGAATAAGTATTGCCTTTAGAAATATGTTAATCTTTCACTGTCTCCACTCAGTGAATGATACCAGAATGTCTCTCAGTGAGGGCTTCCTTTTGCTGATTTTTCATCAGACTGGAATTCCTGCTGGGAAGTTGGCTGAGACTCAGAAAATGCAGCTCACCACTGAAACACACAAGAAATCAGTTTTTCAAAACTGTAAGGTAAGCTTAATAGCAACCCAGTTGGTTTTAATTTAAGTATTTATCTACCCTATCAACCAATTATAGCTTTGATTTTTTTAAAAAAGTAAAATTGATACTAAGTTTTCCTAACTTTGAAAGTTATTGATGCCGGGCTCGGTGGCTCAGCCTGTAATCCCGTGCCTTTGGGAGGCTGAGGTGAGTGGATTGCCTGAGCCCGCGGGTTCGCAACCCACCTGGGCAAATTGGCGAGACCTCATCTTACAATAAATCAAAAACTAGCCGGGTGTGGTAGCGCGCGCCTGTAGTTCCAGCTACTTGGAGGGCTGAGGTGGAAGGATCACTGGAGCCCAGCATGTCGAGGCTGCGGTGGCCAGGAGCGGCCACTGCACTCCAGTCTGGGCGACAGAGTGAGACTCCAACTCAAAAAAAAAAAGAAAGTTATTGATTTCTTGTGATGAGATGGTTTTACATGGTGAGCTGCATTTTCCAAGCCTTGAACCTGGTAATCATATTGTCAAGATAATGGCCTCTATGTCTAGGCCGTTTTGCTATGTACATTATGTGCATGTTAACTATAAAAGAATGTAAATAAATATGCATAAATACATGTTCATGCACATATATATGTTTATATATGCTATGGGGGAAAGAGGATGCCTGAGCCTAGGGGTGTGAGACCAGTGTGGGCAACTTGGTGAGACCTCATCTCTACAATAAACCAAGAAAAATTAGCTGAGCATGGTGACATATGCCTGTAGTTTCAGCTACTTGGAAGGCTGAAGCAGAAGGATCACCTGAATCCTGCAGATCAAGGTTGCGGTGGCCAGAAGCATGCCACTGCACTCCAGCCTGGGTGACAAAATGAAACTCCAACTCAAAAAAAAAAAAAATTAACTCTTCCAGACATAGGATTTTGGACATTGGAGTGAGAATGGATAGAAGTAGATGTAATACAACAGAATTATCCGTGTTGTAAACCTGAAAGGGACTATCAACTATACCATCAGGTATATGTTTTGGGGAGGCAAAAAAAGAAAAAAAAAATCCAAAGAGTTAATCATTTGTCTTTCTCCATCTAGAGATGTAAAACTTGTGGAAGTGTTAAAATGATTCTTGACTGAGAAAGAGTAGATTTTTAAGAAAAATTAAAAGACGTAAAAATCTCTTTTACACAACTAAAGTCAGTTTGTTAGCTTGGGATATGAAATTATGTCTTGTATTACTTGGTTTGCTCCAAAATGTCTTAGATTTTGGACAGTTCTTTTCCTTTACTTTTTTTTTTTTTTTTTAAGTTGGAGTGTCACTCTTGTCACTCAGGCTGGAGTGAAGTGGCATGTTCACAGCCACCGCAACCTAGACCTGCTAGACTCGGGCTATCCTTCTGCCCCAGTCTTCCAAGTAGCTGGAACTACAGGCATGCGCCACCACGCCCAGCTAATTTTTTGATTTATTGTAGAGATGACGTCTTGCCAAGTTGCCGAAGCTGGTTTTGAACCCATGAGCTCAGGCCATGCTCTCCCCTCCGCCTCCCACAGTGCTAGGATTACAGGCATGAGTCGCTGAACCCAGGCAGTTATTTTCTTAATACATGGTAATAATACATAGTTAACACTTTTGGAAAACATCTCAGTACCTTTCTTATTTATTACACAAGTTCTCTATATATTATAAAAAGACTACAGAATATGGAGAAATGTAGATTATTTTAATTGCTCATAATCCCACAACTCTGAGAAAACCACTGTTAGGATGTTAGTATATCTATTTTTTTGGTTTTTGAATCAGAGTCTCACTCTGCTGCTCAGGCTGGCGTGCATGCTCATCGCCACTGCAGCCTCAACTTGCTGGGTTCAGGTGATCCTTCTGCCTCAGCCTTCCAATTAGCTGGAACTTCAGGCACATGCCACCATGCCCAGCGAATTTTTATTCTGATTTATTGTAGAGATGAGGTTTCAACAAGTTGCCAGGCTGGTCTCAAACCTGTGGGGTTCAGGCAGTCCTCTCACCTTGGCCTCCCAAAGTACTGGGATTATCGGCATGAGCCACCGCACCCGGCCTAGTATGTATATCTTTGTGGACTTTTTTTTATATAGAAGAATGTGTGTGTGTGTGTGTGTGTGTGTGTGTGTGTGTCGTGTGTGTGTGTGTACGTACTCTTTGTGTATTGCTCAATTATTTCCTCAAATCCTTAGAAGTGAAATTACTGGGTCAGTTCCTCTGAATTTTTTTTTTTTTGAGTTGGAGTCTCACTCTGTCGCCCAGACTGGGGTGCAATGGCACTATCATGGCAACTGCAGCCTCAACCTGCTGTGCTCAGGTGATCCTTCCAGCCTTCCAAGTAGCTGGAACTACAGGCATGGGCCACCACGCCCGGTTAATTTTTTTATTTATTGTGGAGATGAGGTTTCACCATGTTACCCAGTCTGGTCTCAAATCCATGGGCTCAGGCAGTCCTCTCGCTTCTTCCTCCCTAAGTGCTAGAATTACAGGCATGAACCACTGCACCTGGCTTTCTGAATTTTTATTTGCCATACCTACCTACCCAGGTTGCCTGAAGCAAGAGCCACTTGGAAAATATTTAACATGGTGACACGGGAGATAAAGGAATTCTGTTCTGACTGTGCTACTACTACTTTAGCTGGAACTGTGGAGTCAGACTGAGTCTCTCAAGTCTCCTATTGATTTTCAAAACTTATTGTTTCCCAAAAGGGAAAAAAAAAAAAAGAAAACTTATCATTTACTTAAGGAAGTTTGAGCACTATAGTCTATTTCTACTTTTATGATAGTGCCATCTCCATGCTAAGGAGTGTATCTATAGAGGTGGAAAATGTTGGTCAATGTTTAATCACTACCATGCCTTCTGCTTGTCCAGACCAAAAAAAAAAAAAGATTCCATGTAGGAAGATAAGTGCCTTTCTGAACCGTATATATATACTTTTTGTTCTTTTGAGTTGGAGTCTCACTCTGTCACCCAGGCTGGAGTACAGTGGCATGCTCATGGCTATCACAGAATCATAGGAAAATGCCACCTCGCCTGACTAATTTTTTGGTTTATTGTAGAGGTGAGGTCTTGCCATGTTGCTCAGGCTGATCTTGAACCCTTGAGCTCAGGCAGTCCTCTCACCTTCACCTCCCAAAGTGCTGGGATTACAGGCGTGAGCCACCACACTTGGTGTGGATCTACTTTTTATAGTATCTTCAAAAGAAAGACATTATAGTTCCCTGACATTGCCACAGGAATAATGTTGACATTAGCAGAGCAGCAAGGCATTCAGCTCAGGTAAACACTGATACTTACCAGAGAGTGAGCAGGAAAAATCAGTGGGATGCTGAATGAGGCACTATTTTCTAAAATCTATATTTATTTTTTAACATTTTTACATTCTAAACAAAATTAGTTTTGGGATATGTGGTATAGTTTGGAGTACTAGCTTTAAGAAAGGGCTGCTCAGAGGTTGAGCATAGTGGTTCACATCTCTGTAATGCTGACACTTTGGGAGGCCAAGATAGGAGGACTGCTTGAGCCCAGTAGTTTGAGACCAGCCCAGGTAACAAAGTGAGAC